TACGATCAATAGACATGGCCACCATGACATGGGACCTTTAAGTGATAACAATTCATCTTAGATAACTGTGAATGTACCACATTTTACGGCATCAATTGTTGTCATGACATTCCAGCTTGATTGTTAGTGGCTCTATATTAAAGTGTCAGCTAAATGAAAATGTAATGTAACCCACAAATGCCAACCTACTGGTGATGCTAGAGGAAATGTCAGGGAATCAGTAAAGATATTGGGATTCATACTATCCAGTAGATGTTGTGAAAAGTTTCTGGATAGACATTCCTTAAGCCACTAGCATGGATAAAAAACACTTAACTGTAACCCTATATTTCACATACTTTTTGTTACAGATTATGGGTTTATTGCATCTTGGGGAAGCCAGTACATAACTTACGTGCAGCCCGTCGCTGACCCTGAATGCCAGACGGGATGTGGGGACCCCAGTGTGGACAAAGCTGATCCTACCCTCCTTTAGATCATTCAAGGAGAACAAGTTAACTGCCCTGAAAGATAGATGCATTCCTGTTAAAATTCCATGTTTTGTTCCATAACCCTGATTTGAATCATTATTGAAAGTCAATATTGAAATCTATCGTCCATTGATGTGTATCAGAAGCCATAGCACAGACCTGCCGGGGTTATCCTGATGCTCAAGGTGTCCAACCTCATTGTTGAGATTTCCCAGGGAGCTGAACACCAGGTCTTCAGGACTGCTGTCAGGGTCCGATACCCTCAGCACATCTAGCGTTAGCTGGAGACATTTTGGAAATATTGATTTTCATTTTGTAACAATAACACTCTTACACAGAGCATCCGGGAGTTCTGCTCTACATACCTGTCGTTTGGACCTTTCCAGCACAGTAAAAAGGTTCCCCGCCGGTAGGCTGAGCACGGGCGCATCATTAACAGGACTGATGCTGATGTCAAACCGATAAAGGCGGTTTCCCTTTAGAAACACAGGAAGCGCCTTCTTATTGCTGGAGAAGACTGAAAAAATGAAGAAGTCCTGCTGGTCCTCTGACCCACCGTGAACGTACATCACTCGGCCCTGCCACAAGTCCAGCATATTAAAAGTCCGATCAACCTCCTCTGCTCCTGTCGCGATAGTCCTTGCCTGCCCTTTGTCCAGCATCCCATCGGGGTCAGAACTGGAGTCTAGTTGCAGTTGGCCGTGGACAGGCTGCCTCTCAATAAGAAACATCATCTGGGATGGATGAATGCCCCATTTTTGAAAATCCAGATTAACCTAGAACGGAGAGCAAATAGGAACTGACTTTATATTGGTAATTTTTTCTTAGTGAAAACTAGATGAACAGATCAGCAGGAGACAACCAGTCCTACCTTTATATGTTTGGGTTCCAGTGGTGCCAGGCCTCCCTCCACAACTTCTAGCTTTCTCAGCGACAGAAAGTTCTGGTTCTTCTTGTTGTTGGTTATTGATTGTGGGGTTGTAACATCAAATTGGGGACGATCTGTTTGGTGGGTGGTGGTCAATGCTTCTGGATCTGGCCCTGTCTCACAGCCCAGAGAAACGTCTTTGGTTACTGCAGCATTAAGCAGGCCCATTATTTGAGTATTAACCCTAATTTCTCTGAGGCAGCCTCTAAAGGAGCTTGCTTGCCCAGCTAGTTGACCCCCAGGCACTGCGGACATCAGCCCAGCTTGCCTTGCTTCTTCCCGGGCTTCTTTGTCCAGCCCTCCCAGAAAGAGCGGCCCTCTGAGCTGGATGACCTGGAGCTCCAGACTGAGGTTGACCTTGACCAACTCCTCTCCCACCTTCAGCTGGACGCTGCTTGGCAACAGATGCAGCTGTAGAGGGTACCAGGTGCGGTTGCGGTTAACATGTGTTAGAGAACGCAACTCAAGCTTACTCCCATCTCCATTTCCGACCGTTGCCACCATGTTACCATCTCTAATCTCAATTGCAACAAACCCTCCCTTCTTGGCAGAGCTATACAGGACAACGCCATATTCTTCTGTGGCAGAGGGGGACAATTCACACTCAAACAACAGCTCATGTGGCCCCTCCCAGGGTGGCAGAGATATAAAAGCTTTGGAGCTGAAAAAGCTGAGAGAATCTTCTATTGCAGAAAACTGTGCACTACAGCCCTGTGATACCTTATGGATGCTCTTATACCCAGAATAAGGCTTTAGGGTGGAAAATAGGTTATGTTCATTGAACACAACTTTGTCTATGCAACCTTTAAACCCAGTGGAGTTGTTGAGAAGGTATGGGTGTTTCAGTTCGGCTGCCCCGCCAACAAAAAGCCCATCCTCAACACTGAGCTCGATATCTGGGCCTGGCATTTGGATGCTGGCATGAGAGTTTTGGTCAACTGTCAAGTTGACAAAATGCCCGTTGTGGGTCAGCTCTACAGAGTGCCATGCCATGTCGCTGAGATACATGTCCTTTTCTAAGCAAATTGAACGCTCACCAGAGCCCAGGTCCAGACGTACCTGAGGGATGATGGGGGAGGGAGCGAAAGATAGAGTGATGAAAAAAGAATTAAAAGTGATAACCAAGACACATTAAATACAAGTCTTTTTATTTTATTTTACAATACAGACTTGAATTATTAAGACAAAGAGCTGCGAACACATCAAAGAAAACCACAACATGGTGAGAATCAAGATGTTGTTAACTGTAGATCAAAGGCTTTTCCACATAAATGCAACCAAACTCTTTCATAAACAGCTCCTTTTCAATGTACTTGGAGTTTTCAATAAACCATTGCGGTCTTCTCACTTGACGTTGGTCGTGAAGGAACTTGTTCTGAAATTGCCAGGGGGATATTTTTTTCTTTCTTGCAGCAATCTGACACCAAGCTGTGTGTTTTCAGGCCTCTCTCTGCCTCTCCAAAGGATATTAAATGCCAACTTATATGAGCCAAAATTCTCCAAGGGGCAAATATTTCCTCCTGTTGTTAAGGTGTGAGGTTATGGAGGTGACAGCCTCTGGACACCTTTTAGTTTGACTAATTTGTATTCATGCTGAAATCCAAATGTTTTTTCCCTGAAAACTGTCATAACACTTGTTTTCTTGCAAATGAAGAATACACACATCTTGCTTGTTGTTAGACATCTATGATGCTACTATCCTAAAATTATTAAACCTACCTGCAGACGGCCAGAGATCAGCTCCAGCAGTAGGAAGTCTTTGCGTCCAGCTGCCAAAAACAGCAGCCCGGCCAGATCTGTGGTTCGAAATCGTACATGAAGAAACGTCTGAATGGATGTCTCCACTGTCCGCAGGTGGACATAGCCATCACCGTAGAACGACACTACCGCAATGAACAAAAAGACATGTCATCTCAACTGGCATCTTTTTGTTTTTTTTAAATTACATTCTTAGGTTTATCTATGGAAGCCTGTTTGTATGGAAGCCTGTTTGCGCCACAGAAAAAAAAAAAAAAAAAATCCTGTAAATCATCATTATATTCTTGACTTAATATCTCATTATATTGACTTAGCTATCTCATTATATTGACTTAGCTATATCATTATAATGACTTAAGACAACTACCAGCAAGTCAAAGCAATACACTAGCTGTAAGCAATCTTGATTTTGGAGCACTCCTGAAAAGAACATTGTTTTTGCTCTTGCCAAACGCTTCATGAAGGTATTATCTACTGTTAAAAAGGTAACATGTGAAGTAATGTTACTGGTATAGGCCTAATGTTGGATAGATAAACGTTAAATATAGCATGCACCGACTGTTTGGATGGCCGAACTGACTCGGGGTAGGCCTAGGTGTCTAACGTAACTGTATTGCTATATTTCGTGTTGTGTTAGCTTACTGGGTTTAACTGACGTATTTATTAAATAACATTAAAAACTCCTGTTAAGAAATGTCTTTACAATAATGAGCGTGAGTACTATATTTGTTGTTTTGCTGGTGTTAAAAGGTAACACAGCGAACTGCAGTTAGCATGCAATTAATACTGTGCTACAGGTTTGCTAGGGCATATGGCACTTATGCATAACTTGAAGCGGATCGAAGCCTCGGAACGATGCGCACTGTATGGGTCAATTNCTAGAAGACATAGGGGGAGCTCCACCATGGGTTATTTAAAACGTGTTCAAGTTTTGCAAATGGTCCGTTTTACCTATTCCATAAGCCATAAGCCTACGTTAGGTTCTTACTCGTCAATTAAAATATATATTTTATGAGTTCAGGATTAAGGCCGTTGTAGACTAGCCTATAAAAGTTGCTGAGTTTTTTGTGACACAGCTGTCTACGGGCTCCTCGCTAGATTCCATGTGCACGTGCTGCCGGAGTGCACCGGCGACGACTACTACAGGACATTTATTTTCTGAGGAACAACATTTTTAAATTCACATAAGACGACCGTGTACATCATACAGCGTTTTTTATATATATAAAGTTGTGAGTTTGTGACACAGCGTTGTTTGCGTGTTCATTATGTCCACTGTGGATGTACACACACGTACTACGCCTGTGCCAAGAGTAAAACATAACTTGTTTAAGTCGGAAAGAGGCTATAACTCGCCCTGGTGACTGAACGTCTACATAATCATGAAAGCAGAATATGAAGTATAACCGAACATCTGATGTAAAGTTCGGACTGTAGCAGCAACTGTGGTTTTTAGCATATCTTATGAAGGTTAACAGCGGTCGGTGCATGCTATATTTAACGTTTATCTATTTAAAATTAGGCCGATACAAGTAACATTACTTCACATGTTACCTTTTTAACAGTAGATGCTACCTTCATGACAATGTTCTTTTCAGAAGTGCTCCAAAATCAAGATTGCTTACAGCTAGTGTATTGCTTTGACTTGCTGGCAGTTGTCTTAAGTCATTATAATGACATAGTTAAGTCAATATAATGAGATAGTAAGTCAATATAATGAGAAAGCTAAGTCAATATAATGAGATATTAAGTCAATATAATGAGATAGCTAAGTCATTATAATGAGATAGTAAGTCAATATAATGAGATAGTAAGTCAATATAATGAGATAACTAAGTCATTATAATGACTTACAGGATTTTTTTTTTTTTTTCCTGTGGCGCAAACAGGCTTCCATATTAACAGTATCTGTAAACCAAAACATCCAAAATATTTAAATGAAAATTTGGTGACCAAAGCCATTATCCCAGCGAATACACGTATCTATATTGACTGGCTTGCTACACTGCACTTTAAAACTGCTATCCAAATTCAATTAATGACAACTAATGCATTCTGGAGCGGGTCATCCTGAAATGGTCTAATGCTAATTAGACATCAGTGTTGACCCAGATGACATAGGTTGGAAATTTAGTTGTACAACTATTCTTCCATTACTGCTGTTAAAGCAAAAACAATGTCATTAGTTGGTGTAAGGTATATGAAATAGTCAGAGAAAGAGGAAAAGGAATGGGGTCTCCGAAATGACACAGTATTTGGGAAACATGAACCCTGAATAACGAGTGAGATGCAATAGTCTGGATGAAATTAGCTCACCAACCAACCGTTTACCCATTGTCATGCCTCGAGTCATATATTTACACACATTTTCTAAAGCCCTGTACTCATAGCTACAACTTATCAACACTTTTTCATGTAGTGTTTTAAAACAGTTTTTGTATGTAATTACAGTATGCTGGCATTTAAGAGTGAGGCAAGTGAACCAACCACTCACATGTGTGAAGGAAAAAGCAGTAGAACAGCGTTCTGGGTTTCATCCGATTTGACCTACATCGGTATTGGTGCACTCAGTTAAAATGGAAACAAGTTTACACAGCAAATGGAGGTCAAAGAGTGTATGTGTGTATCTGACTCTAAAAACTCTTTAAAGTTCTCAAAACAGTACAGCAGTATAGAGTGGCAGTGAGACTGAACACAACATACTGTAGAAATGTGTCTGTGAGTGTCTCATTCATCAGATTCCTACAATTATCTGAATATAATTATCTCAAGTCCATAGGGGAAGAAAAAGGAAGCTGAAACATTTGATTGATGAATAACTCAAAAAGACGCCATGTGCAGTTTGCACTGCCTGCAACAAATGTTTATGTTTAATTTATTATTAAAATATGTCTTATAGGGCTTGTCCCAGAGGGAAGTACTAGCATGCCGCTCAGTGTAAAGCCTATAAACCCGGTCAGTATAACCAGTGCCTGTCCATCCCTCCCTAATCTGCCTCTATGACACCAGTTAACATTGGATTAATAATAATCTCCCCTAAATGTGAATGCAGGTAATGCGCTGTGATGAGTAGGTGTAGGGATGAAGAAATGTAGGACTCTCTGAAGCAATGCTGACAGCCCTGCAATGCTCCACATGCAGCAACTTGTGTTAAATTAGGAATGTCAATGGCAATTCTTTAGATTTGATTTAGTGAGACTCCTACATAAGTGTGTGGATTAAGAAACACACTTCGAGTTAAATGAAAACTGGCTTGCCATGTATATTGAAATGAAGAATGAGGAACAACACGATAAAGATGAGACTGTTTTGTTATTTTGATTAAATTACTTCACTAGTAAACTATCTCATAAACCAAACTTTGAACTGTATACGAGGGCTTTAACATTAAGCTGCCCACATAGACACAATTTAACCTCATCAAAATCATACATATAATACTGCATGAACAATCATTTGTATCTAAAAGAGAATGAGATTCTTGAAGCCTTATATTAAAAACTATAATAATAAACAACCATTTAAAACTAAGGATTTTCATGGTTTTATGAGGAACACTATTTTGCCATTCATTCAAACATCATGTCATAGCATAATCATGCTGAGTTTTACCTTTTGCATCACAGTTAGGAAAAAAAGGTGTCCCATCTGCAAAGTGCCTTACCTCCATAAACGTGTCCTGCAGAAATCAGCAGGAGCAGACCGGCCACAAAACTCCTCATTGTTAGTAATGCCCGTATAATCTAAGTTACCTTTAGTGAACAGCAACATCTGGCTGCTTGACTATTGGACACCTATAGCCTCGACATGCTTTCCTGGCTGTGGCTTAGAGACTTTAAAGAAATATGTACCTGTGCCTTTCAGCAGTGAGGTGGAGCTCCACCCTCTCATACTCCTCTTGGCTGTTGTACCAAACATGACCACGAGGGGGAGGTGTCATAGAACATAAAGCGCCAGAGAGCAGTTTCTTGAAAGTCCTGCCGATTGTCTTGTTTTTGAACAAGGGATGTATCAATTACATGGGAAGATACTCAGACCACTTTGTCACAGCGATGCTGAACGAGTGCAGTCTTCTGATGTGTGTTACTTATCGTTTCACAGGTCAAAAGGCTAATGTGGAATTATTATTAGATGATTTGTCATAGATCACCCTTTAAAGGAGAAAAGAGGTTCAAAGCATATATACAGAAAATCCTCATGGTGGGTTCTTAACAGGAGAAGTGTTGGCCTCATAGTAACCTTTGTCTTTCTAAAATGAGTATTTACAGTGTAACTCAACACTAGATCAACTTTTCTTTTATCTAATGGAGCTATCTAAATTGCCACACTATAAACACATAAATACATCTGCAGGGTGCAGACCGAAAGCAGTAGTGATAGCAGTATAAATAGTGGAAGTAGAAGTGGCTTTAATCGAGCATTCAGCTACATAAAAGGCCAGTGTCTAGGAGTTAGGGAGACATATTAGCAGAAATGGTACATGATATTCTTAATCATCTTTTTTTACTGCATAATCACCTTCATCTAAAGTCTCGCTGCACTGCCATGTTTCGAGCTCAGGATGGACAATCCCAACTCTGGCTCGAGATAGGGCCTTTTTTATCTTTACGTTAAGATGGCCTGAATCTACATTTTTGGTAAGGATGGTCTTAGCATGATGAATGTCCTGAAAAATACCACGAGTTACCAAAGTCTTGAAGTAAGTATTGAGTATAACTGCAACTGCAACACTAACAAAGTACAGTCAGGGGTTTTAAAATGTTTTTAAAAGGATGCAAGGACTCTACTTAGTTATAGTAGTGACTGCAGTTTTGGAATAAATGACCGAGGGACAGAAGAGAGAGAAAATGTGGGACAGAGAGAGAGGGACAGGGAGGGAGGGGGGGAGTAAAAGGGAACAAGAGGTTAAAGTAGGGAAATGTCCTGTGGCTGATTGAGGTGAAGTGGAAGTTTGGGTGTGATTGTTCAAACTGCCGGACATACTCCCTCGTCTGTATCCTGAACCCCTCCCACCCTCTAACCTCTATACACACACAGACACACACAAATACACACATACACACACACTCACACATTGAAATGCAGTGTAACTCGGCTGGAGAGAGTTTGGTCCATTTTAAGGTTGAAGGAACACACAAGGGCTTTTATTCAGCTGCTGATTCAAACTCCCCTTGGCTCGCACATGAGAGGAGAGCTGGGTTTAGTCTTAGTTCCCAGGGTGTTGAATAATAGACTCTGCAGCCTGGTTTCTTAGACGGAGGGGTCACACCCAAAATGGGTCATAGTTCAGCCGATGACGGGTCCCCTCATGACGAGAGAGGTGGTGTGTTTTAATGAGCCTGGGTCCCACGCTGAGATGATTAGCGTCTTGTCTTTTGGGCTGGAAAAGTATTTTAAGTGCTAAACTAGGCTAAACTAGCAGTCAACCGAATGTTTGTATTTAGCTCTTATTTCAACATTTCTCAGGGATTTAACTTTGCTGAGCATTAGGACAGATTTCAAGGGAAATGTCCAATACTAACAGTAAATTATAGTTAAAAACTAAAATAATCATAAACTGTATACAGGTAAGGTTGTTAGTATTTGGGAACTATTGAGGAACGCCACAGTCTGTTTTTTTAATTAAAGAGACATTTTAATTATTTACTCCTACTTTTCTTAAAGATTTGGGAACAAACTGGTATTGCTGTATCAACAGTTGACTTATTATTATAGTTAACGCTGTTTTAACCTACATTTAAATTATAACACACAATCATTTTAGATATATCCGAGCTACTTCCTGGTTCCACTTAAGAGTACCATATCTGTGCATGCAGTTTAAATAAACAATTGAGGAATAAGAAGCGTATTTTGGGTCCAGTTCTTTCTAACCTTTTCACTATGTTGCTTTCTCTCTTTGACACTATGGTGGAGCTGAGACTCACAAGGTCGCTGCACAGGAGTCATCAAGTTGACGGGTAAAATAATACAGTAACCAATGATTGACCAAAACAATCAAATTAACTTTCAACCAACCCCTGTAAGGTTACTAGCTGTGTGTGTTTTCTATACAAGGATGTATTGTGTAAATGTTGCGTGATGCTCATCCAACTAAATACATTTGTTTTGCCATTTAAGATATTTGCTGCCCTTTTCCTCTACAAAAACAACCTCTTAACTCTCGAGCTATGACATTGGTATAATACAGGTTAGAGAACAGGAACCACCTCTCTGTGGCAAACAGCGCATTGACCAGGAAGAGATGGAGGATTGGGACCGATTTAACTCCAGCTGCAGCTAAAATAACAAAAACACACCACACAGCTGGATGTTCAAACCTTAAAGGTCCCTGCTTCTTACCCTGTCACAAACCCGCTGCTTTGTGTACAACTTTATATGTAAAGAAAGGAAAAACAGAAAGCAAAACCTGCTTCCCTCTTGGAAAAAAACCCAAAATAAGCTTTCTTCCTTCCTCACTTTGCATCCTACATGTTTTGGCACACTTGTTCGGGCTTCTTGAACACGTGTCGGTTTCTATTTTGGAAAGGCGTGTGATACAGATCTATTGATTTTCGCTAAACAGACACTAAAAATAAGAACAAAAAAGCCCAGCACATTATCCACAGGTGCAGCTGAGATGAATGAGTCACGGTGTTTTGATCCAGCAGTAAAAATAAAGTTAATGGAAGAAGGCTTGAAACCCTGTGTGGGCTCCGGTATAAACCTCGGCCCAAGCTTGTAGACCATTTCCAGCATAAATACAGTAATTGAGTGACACATCTATTTTCTATTTATGTGCTGGTTGCATAAGAACAACAGAGATAAGGACTGTGGAGAAAGGCCAGAGCCTCCGCCTGAGAGAAAGAGATGCAAAGGAAGTCCAGAAAGAGGCTTAGATACAGCGAGAGGTTTAGAAGGTCAGGATCCATAGATAGACATGAAAACAGAAAGGACACAGATAATTAACAACGGCAGTTTTTCTATGCTTCGCACATGTGTAGCATTTGGCTGAAATATCATGACATTTGAACAAAACAAGACAAAGAGCAGCTCTGGACATTCAATCGTCTCTAGTTGGGGGGAGTGCATGTTTGTTTGTGTGTGTGTTTGAGAGAGGCAAGAGCTTGGTTGGCCATTCAATAGGTGTACTCCAGCCAAAATGAACTTTGCGTGTGTGTGTGTGTGTGTGTGTGTGTGTGTGTGTGTGTGTGTGTGTGTCCTATCTCCAGAGGCACCTCTTCAAAAATATTTCTCATCTAAAGCTCGTAACGCGATGCTGGGAACAGCTGCTACCTTTGCTTGGGGACACCTTTAAGCCTGTGTTTTATGTGTGTCTGTTTGTGTGTGTCTCTGTGTGTGTGTGTGTGTGTGTGTGTGTGTGTGTGTGTGTGTGTGTGTGTGTGTGTGTGTGTGTGTCTCTGCATGTGTGTCTGCATGTGTGTCTGCATGTGTGTGTGTGTGTGTCCGCATGTGTGTGCCTGCATGTGTAAGTGATTGAGGTGTGAGTCACTTTGAGTCATAGCTACTTAATTTAGCTCACTGGTTGAAAGCGAAGAGAAGACAACAGGACACAAGACACAAAAACAGAAGAGGGGATAATAATGAAACACACAGGATAAGGAAACATAACATAAGATTAGAAGTAGTTCAAATGAGATGGAAAAGAGGCTAAAAGCAATAGTGCGATAGCTACTATCTTTAGCTAAAAGGTAACTGTCAAATTGAAAATGAGAGGAGCTTTGATCTGACTCTAGCATGCTCGTGTTTAACAATTATATGGTGCGTTAGCAAGCACACTTTTGGTAATTAGCAATAACACTAACTATAGCTGATGCTGAGGAAATTAGTTCTTCAAGTTTATGTCATAAACTGAAGTATTGGATACACTGTTTTTGCACGATGATGATGTGAGACAATCCTCCTGAGGGGTCAACAGACCAACATTAGCATCCTTGGAACAGTCAAATATCCAATTTGAACATTTAGTAATCAAACAAACCATTTCCAGAATTACTTCACACAGCATTAAAAAAGGACACAATCGACATAAGGAAATGTGTTTCCTTGATTTCTAGTAGAATGTATTCATAAACAAAAACACTTTGGCATTGAAAACAGAAGACTAAAGCGTTGAAAGTGCTAAAACCTACACAATAAAGTGAATAAAAACTAAATCCATTGGGCGTTTTACAATTACTTTCATTTTCCTTTCCTCCTTACCAACCTATTAACCGTGGATTGTTCTGTAAAAACAAAGACGGGCACCATCTGCAAGATCAGCACTCACAAGGACAAGTGACGGGAAGGGAAAGTGCAGAAAAGGAAGGATGGGAAGGGATGAGAGGAAACGACATTTGGTTGTCTCTCATAAGGTTTTACGTTTTTTTCCCTAAATGGAAAAAACGATTAAGAAATGGAAGTAACCTGCGTCCTTAAGCAACTCTCAGCCCCTTAAACAAAATGTGACTTTTTCAAATCAAGTGCATGAGGACATCACAGATTATTCTTTATCTGAATTCAATTTAGTGCTTACAACATCCAATTCGAAAAGCTCACCAGCATATATACGCAGTTTCTATACTACAAGTACGTGCAAGTATCCACACAAATCCCTTACACGTACCATTCTGCTCTCTCCTCTGACACAATATCACCCTTTCAGTTTCAGATGATTGTTTTTGCTCTAAGTCTTCCTCCTCTTCATCCCAGTGACAAAGGTCACTACCAAACAATGGCCTCC